AGTAATTGCAGGCACTGTTTAAAAAAATTGGTTGCTTAACAATCGCAGTCATCCCACATCCTCCCTAAATACACAAAAACAAGTCAGTGTAAATATTTTTAAATATCACATCACTGAGGTTTACTCTACTGCCATTTACCTGCACGTCCTGATATTCAGGGTCACTGTTTGAATACTATGTTTGTGTTTAGTGATCTGGTGTTGCTCACTGCTCGAGGTAGAGAATTCCATCAACAGATTGTAAGCATTCTTCCCATTTGTTCCTCTGAGTCAGATTTTTCCAGAGGACCTGCTTGATCAGTGAGTTAGCACACATCATACAGCGCAAACTACAGATGGGATCACAACAACCATGAGGCCAAAGATTTCCCGGACTACACCCATAATGGAAAATGTTGTTTATACACCAGATGTAGATCCTTAAGGGGAGTTACAAATACATTAACAATGCAAAAGGCTGTGTGACGGGGGCGTAAACACACGTAAACACCTGCCAGGGTGTTCATAGCCATCTCGTTTGTAATTACTGCTGGAGTAGGGGAATCAGGGGCCGTGTTTGGCCATGATAACAGACAAACGCAGTCATACTGTTGTGGCTGGTTACCAGGTGGCAGCCAGGCTTAGCCTTCACTTCTGATGTGGCCAAGGGGGCGGCGACTCATGCAGATGTGGCTCTTAAAACACATGTGACGTAGTGTCCTCTCTGTTGGATCTGTTGTGCTGCATTTCATGTTTGTGGGGTGTGTGCAGCTAACGTTCAGCTCTCTGTGAATTCCTGACGATTGTGCGACATTCAGGCAGACTGACCTCACTCAGTGAGCTGAAAACCCCCTGTTCCACCTCTGCATGTTAAGAATGCGCATACTGACCTAATACGCAAACATGCAGTTTGCTCAATGCTCACAAACAAAGTAAGAATAATATTGAGTAACAGAATGTACTTTTTGCTTGCAGTTTCCCATTGAATTGTTTCTTTGTTAATTATTAGTTAATCAAACTGAAAGATTAGTGACTGAACACAGAAGGGAACTTCTCCTATTTACTGCGTTCTTGTTAAATGTATTATTTTAAAGTACGACAGAAACTATAATTCCAAGGGCCTAAAGGCAGCTTCTTTATTTTAAGACTTTGTTTTGCAAAATCTAGGGTCACTCCCCAAAGCTGTTAGTACTCAACATAGCTTTTTTGAATATATGTCCACTTACTCAAATTGAAACCAAACTAATGTTGGCGACCAGGATCACTAGGAGTCCTTTTGTTTGTTCGTCCACAGATAATGTCAGTATGTGTACACTCCCATATAAAACCTTGTTTTCTTAATCCAGGGCTGACCAAGTAAAACATTGACGCAGTTTCTTATGATTCTAGTTTTCATTTACAGGTCCTTCTAGTAAAGCTTAATAATATTTAACCTTAAAAAAAAAACACTTTTTTTTTTTAAATTTCAGAGAGACCACTTCATCCCCTATGTAAAGCTTTTCAATTCAGTTTTACTTTATTTACATAACAGCAAGTTACAACAGCAGTCACCTGAAGGAGGAGCTTTGTATTGTAAGATAAAGACCTACGGTGATACAAAGAAACCCCCAAATATCAAATGACTCCCTATGAGCAAGCCCTGGGTGACAGAGGGATGATCCAGCAGGACCAGGCTCTGGGAGGGGCAGCCATGTGCTGCGAGCGGTTCGTGGAGACGGGAGGAAGATAGGACCAAAGACAGACTTCTTGAGGCATCGCATCCTGAAATCCCAGCTTGTGCTGATTGATCAGTTCAGTCCTTGGAAAAACTGCAAGACTGGTTACATAATGTATAGGTCTTAACTAGGGATGGGTATCGTTTAGGTTTTATCCGATACCGGTGCCAAACCGGTACTTTTGAAATGGTGCCGGTGCTTAAACGGTGCTCAAACCAGTGCTTAAATAATGGAAAAAAACACAAACTTTGTCCAAAAACCTCTCATGTTTAAC